TTTGATTCATATTATTCTTTTAAAATTATAAAAAATAATATTTTGTTAAATATATTATTAATCATTTGTACTATACTATGATGATTGTTTGTTATAGGTAAAAAAATCTTATTAGTATCAATGCAAACAGAAATTGATGGTAAACAGCCAAAGCTCCCAAATGGCATTGCTGTATCCAGTATGGGAGATGTCTACTGGTCTGATTCCAGTACTGATTTTTATTTAGAGGATGGCATGTTTGATATGTTTGCTGATGGTACTGGAAGGTAACTATTTGATTTTTGATTAGCTATCTGTTATGTTGTTTATTTTAATCTCATATACTATTTGTATTTCTTTTTCATTATTGAGTATTAATAAACATTTTAATTTCAATATTTTAATCTCAATTTGTATGCAGATTGATTAAATATGATCCAAAAAATCAAATGAATACAGTCCTAATTGATGGCATTCATTTTGCCAATGGAGTACATCTATCAGAAAATGAAGAATATGTATTGGTGGCTGAAACTGCAAATAGTCGGATTCTTCGTTATTATTTAAAGGGCCCCAAGAAAGGAACACATGACGTTTTTCTAGATCAACTTCCAGGCCTGCCTGACAACATAAATTCAGACGGACAGGGTGGTTATTTCTTCCCCTTGTTCATTAGCAGAAGTCCTGATTTTCCATTTATTAGTCAAATATTATCTCCATTTCCACGGCTGAGAAAATTAATATCCAGATTGTTTGCACTTCCTGAATTAGGTTTAAAGTTGATTGACGACTTTTATCCAAATGAATATGCACAAATAGGTATACATCTTGTAAGTAATATGTCGCTTAATTATTGATCACTTTTCTAAACTTTTTATATTTCCAGATCGGCCATTTTGGCGCAAGTGACCATCTAAACGGTGTTTTAACGCCAAAACGTACCACGATAATACGTGTATCCAAAAACGGAGAAATTCTAGAAAGTCTTCACAGTACTAACTTAAGTAAGGTGTCCCGCATCTCAGAAGCATTCATTTATAAAGACAGCCTTCTGCTTGGATCTCCCTTCAACAATTATATTGGTCGTATATCATTAAAAAGTGCGGGACTGCAACATTTAATTAATTCTGCTGGCACTGCACAAAAAACAACCACACCCCCCACAACAACTACTAAACCTCCCACAACAACAACTAAACCTCCCACAACAACAACTAAACCTCCCACAACAACAACTAAACCTCCCACAACAACAACTAAACCTCCCACAACAACAACTAAACCGCCCACAACAACAACTAAACCTCCTACAACAACAACCAAACCTACAACAACAACCAAACCTCCCACAACGACAACAACTAAACCCACAACAAAGACTAAACCTCCTACAACGACTACAAAACCCCCTACAACAACTAGTAAACCTCCTACAACAACCAGTAAACCTACACAAGCCAGTACAACAACTACTACTAAACCTTCTTCAACGACTACTAAGCCTCCAGCAACTACAAAGAAATCACCTTCAGCGGCGTCAACCGCAGAACCTTCTACAAGAACTAAAACTCCTCCATCATCATCAAAATCTCCATCTGAATCTCAACCTTCAGCTGCAGAATTTCAAAAACAGGACAAGACCAAGACCGAACTGTAAGCTGTTTAATTTAATTTTTCTTATATTTTTAGTTGGAATTCGACGGTTTTTTGGTTTATCTTTTAATTAAATTGTTTATTTATCGTGCAAAGTGATTAATTAAAAATATTGATCTTGCTCACGTTTAAAAAAAGATGGGGCTATGTGTATGTATATATTTATTAATTAATTATCTCATCGGGTAGCTATTCATGTCTATATTATTTATTATTACTATTATTGATGATATGTACCTCATTCTCAATGTTTTTTTTTGTTATTTTACAGTAATATGTTATCTTTATTGCCACTTATAAATATCTAACAACTAATGCAATAAAAAAATCAAAAGGTGTTACAAAATTAAGGGCAATAAGTTCTACCAATACAGGGTGCTGTTAAATAATTTCTTATAGCTAAAGGGTATTTTGTTGCTTTTGTTTTTATAACTTCGTTAAACACTTACTGAATTATTTTCTGCTTTTAAATATGCTTTTTATAAACATTAAATATTTATTATTTGCATGACATCACGACCTTTCCTCATTTCACATTCTCAAAAGAAGTACGTTTCTAGATATCAAATTTATTTAAGATATTTCATGTGGATGTAGTAACTGCTTCTTTAAGCATTCCTAAAGTAATTGAAACATTCCGATTTACTTTATCTTCTAAAACTGTCCATATAAAGTCAATTTTTATTGCAAAGACGTTCATCTTAGATTTAGAGAGTATTTTGTTAATTTTGTGTATAAATATCATTAATTGAAGGTGATTGTGATATTTGTTATAATTTTTTAATAATAAAATAAATATGACTCGATGATTGTTCTTTTATTTATTTTTTATTATCATTAAATTATTGATAGAACAATAAAACAAACAAGTACCTAACAAACATAAATTATTATTGTTTTTATTATTTTTGTGTTAACAAAATAACTTTACCTAGAGATGTTTCTCGACGTATTCTTTAGCCGCGGCAAGACTTTGCCTCAGCAAAGAGTCCCAGTCTTTGATTTTGACCTTTTTGTTCTTCATATTGCACACCAGGGTCAAGTCCTGGCCTATTGCCGGAATAGGGTTACTTTTAAACACCGAGCACACTGTAGACGAAAGCCATTTTAGTGCGTCAAACTTTTCGTTTTTCATAGCCTGTAACATTTTTATTTTATTTTTTTTGTAGATTAAGTGCACTGTTTAATACAGAAATAAATTACCTTTGGTACACAACATCGTGCTTTCACTGTACTGTCCGAATACGAAATAACTAGCGTTGGAATATCCGAAGAGACTTTTGTGGCGTTTTGTAGTGGCACGCTGTCTAGCATAGGAGAACACCTGAGAAAGTGGATTATATAGGGGTGATTAGTCTTTGTTCTTTTCTGCTTCGTTTGAATGACGTTTCGCATTTCTTCTTCAACAAATTTTCTGTAAAGAAACAGAACATAAATGGTAAAATTCCTTTTTTTTTGTTATGAATATTTTTTAACAAAATCGACATTCATTTCTATAATATTTGTCCCAAAAAACGACTCTGTTACTTATTTATTACAAGGTAATGAGAAATACTGTCACTTACATGTTAATTAAAAGTATTATAAAAAATGTATCTTACTTTAAACTACTTCTTGCAACTTCCTCTATCTGCTTACTCATCTTGCTCAACTCCTTCTTGCACCTGTTTCCCACAGCAGCGGGCAGGATCTCTGGATCGTTCACATCACATTGTAAACTTCGGTTCATCGACTTGATAGTCATCTCTAAAATTTCTGGCTTAAAAATGTCACACTTTCAAGATCAACTTCGAAAATTAAACGAATCAAAAAGACATACCGTATCAATATTATCGTTCAGACTTTTTCGAAGATCGGCAATCTTATCGAGAGCTGCAACTCCATTTTCTCGTGCTTTCATTGCTCGACCGTTCGTTACTGCATATATGGACGTGGTAGTTCGCCCTAAAGACTGTACCTTCACGATGCAAAAGTCCTCTAGATCGGCTGTATTGATTACGTGTGTGCCACAACAAGGTTCTCTAAAACATTATTATTTATTTGAGAACTATTCTCTTGAAAAAAGAAATACCTGGATAAGAATCCCTCTCCAGTTGCAATCTCCACCAACCGAATCCCTGTCTCAGGATAAATCTCTCCCGGAACCATAACAACGTCATCAAAGCTTAACAACTCCTGACTGTCAATTTCACTAACTCTCACGTCGGTGTTACTATCAATTACACTTTTTATATCAACTTCCACAGCTTCGATTTCATCTGTAGTCAATTTAGATCCGAATATGCTTACGTCTAAATTGAGACAATCGGGCGCTACTTTACTCGATTTCTGACACGTAGCCCCCTTCAGTCGTTTCAGAGATGCATTTAACAGATGCGTGGCAGTATGATTTCTCATATTGCCCAAGCGCAGATTCTCGTCAATTTTAAGTAGTCCCTGAGTGTTTATTTGCAAGAAAGTGGTGTTGTTTGGGCTTTTCAGGATACCTATGTGAAGTATATACTCCCTTTCCTTTCTCACATCGTTTATTTCAAAACGACTTCCGTTTTCAAGTTCGAGGACTCCTCGGTCCGCCAGCTGACCCCCGGCTTCTGTATACATATTCGACTTGTCTAATACGAGAGTGCATTCGATGTTGGGTTTGACTTTTTCACAAACTTCACCGTCTTTTGCGATCCTTAGGATAGTTACTTGCAGCGGCTTAAAGTTGTAACCGTTTCCTGTTTTTGAGTAAATGTACTTGTAGGAATCGTCAGTGACTGGGACTTGACTTTTTTCTAATGTATCTAAAAAACGATCGACATTAGAGTGCGAAACGTGTCTGCTTCTCGCCTTTGCCTTTTGGAGCTCATCTTTGAAACCGTCAATGTCGAATTTTTTATTTAATTTCGACGACAGTTTCTCGATTGTATCTTGATCGAGACCGTACGTGTCGAACAGCTTATAACCCAGTTGAGGAGTTAACGAATTCGTATTTAACGATTTCAGTTCTTTGTAAGCTGCCACTAGACCTGGCATCTCAACTACGTCAAAATTAGACAAGTCAGGTTGTTTATTGACTATTTTTTTCCATTCCGCTGCAGACACTTTTCTTATCAATCTGTAAACCTCCTCTTCATGATCCACTATTTTGTGTATCTATGAAAATGAAGTTAAGATAAGTATGAAAAAACTCAGCTCTCAAAACTTTTATTTAAATGCTGCTTCTATATTTACTGTTTAGACAGTATTTTGTTTAAATGTTTATCTTACCGTTTTTATATTCTTCTCCATTTCTGGGTAAAAGCATCCTAACTTTTCTACAACATAATTCGTGAGTTCTTTCAGAAGACCATTCTCGACATTAAAATAAGCCTCGCTTACTGAAAAGGCCTTGCGCATTATTTTTCTTAATTTTTGGCTGTAAATTAAATATAAATATTAAATTCCCAAAAAATATTTTTTTTTATATATGTTTACTTTTGTTCTGGTATTACTCCATCAGCTAAACATGCCGTTATCATTCGAGCATGATCAGCTAAAATTCTGTAATTTGTATCCAAAAGGTTCCAGTCAGCTTCACCATATTTTCCACTGTATGGTGGAATATTTTTACAGATCTGGAAAAAAAACACACTGTAACGAAAAAAAAAACAATTATTTTTTTATATTACTTTATGAATTGCCACAAAAATTGGTGAAAACAAATCCGTATCATAATTGCTCAGTTTTCCTTGCAACAGGGCACATAATCTTTCCAACCCCATGCCTGTATCAACATGGTTTGTAGGCAGAGGTTTTATAGAATTGTCTGAATTTCTAAATAATTAAAGTCGACGTTCTTTGTTAATGTTGCAATAAAAATTATTTTACAAACAATTTTACCTGGTAAACTGAATGAAAACAATATTCCAAAGTTCTGTAAGATCAGATAAGCCTTTGTTAACAAACTGAGCTCTATTTGTGCCTCCTCTCATGTCTACATGAATTTCAGTGCAAGGACCACATGGACCTGTAGTACCCATCTCCCAAAAGTTATCACCTGTACCAAAAGGTAGAATTCTATCTTCTGACACTCTTCAATGAAAAAGATTAAATCATTGTTAAGCATATGGTGAATTTATAAATAGTAAATGTACCCAATGTTTTTCCAAATTTCTTTACATTCATAATCAGGTTGTAATCCTAATACTTTGTCTCCAGCAAAATATGTTACATATAAAATCCTAGAATCTATTTTATACACCTCTGTTAACAACTGCCATGCCAATTCACATGCTTCTTTCTGCAATTAAAGTATGTAGTTGCAATTTTACTAAAATATTCACAAAGTACCTTAAAATAATTTCCAAATGACCAGTTACCCAACATTTCAAAAAAAGTATGGTGATAGCCATCGGTTCCCACCACATTAAGATCATTATGTTTTCCTCCTATACGAACACACTTTTGTGAGTTGGCAACTTTTAGATACCGTGGTTTTTGTCTACCAAGTAAAATACCTTTAAACTGTAAATATAACCAATAAATATAGTAGAACTGCATTGCCTAGTACATGGACAATACCTGATTCATCCCAGCATTTACAAAAGCCAAGGAGGCATCATGATGGGGTACTACAGGGCTCGAACGAATAAAATTGTGATTGTGATCTTTAATAAAGTAATCCAGAAACCGTTGTCGCAATACTTTTGATGTATTATCTACTTTGCTGAAAGAAAAGATATATCTTCTAGAATTCAACTTTGAAGATCTTTTCACTATTGCTGATGTTACATTCATACTGAAAATTTTAATAAGCATTTAAAAAATATCATATAAAAATTATTTTCAATGCTAATTAATCAGCCAAACATTTTACTTTTTGATAAAAACTAGATTTTTGACTATATTTTGAGATTAATTAGGTTAACTGGGTTTTATTTGTTTTTTTATTTGCACTGATCATAGATTAGAGATATACAATTTGTATACAATATCCACCACAGTATATGCTTGTTCTTCTTCTATGGCGCTGGTACGGGCAATAATATCCAAAAAGTATGACCATAAATAGGACCATAGATAATGTAAGCAAATTTGAAGAATAACATAACCTACATTTTGTTACTAAAATAGTTTACATTAAAATGCGTTATTTAAATTTATTAAACAAATAGGAAACTTGCCGAGTTATTTTAAACGATATTGTAAAAAATAAGTCATGACTTCTGAGGACAAAAAAGAGCACATTCAAGAATTCAAACTTGATCCTGACTCTGAGCTGAGATTTGAAGTTGAATCAAAAGGTGAAAAGGCTTATGTTACTTTGAAATCTGGACTTGCCGAAATTTTCGGTACAGAGCTAGTAAAAGGAAAGCAGTATGAGTTCTTAGCTGGAGCGAAAGTGGCAGTATTTACATGGAAGGGTTGTTGTCTCGAACTAAAAGGAAAGACAGATGTAACCTATGTAGCAAAAGAAACTCCCATGGTGATATATTGTAACTGTCACGCTGCCCTAGAATTAATGAGAATTGAGGCAGAAAGAGAAAATAAGAAAGGTCCAATAACTTTGGTGGTGGGACCATGTGATGTTGGAAAATCTACTCTTTGTCAGATACTTTTAAACTATGCAGTTCGAATGGGAAGAAGGCCTTTATTTGTAGATTTAGATGTAGGCCAAGGACAAATATCCATTCCTGGAACCATTGGTACCTATATTATAAAATGCCACATTTCTTAAATGTTGTTTTAAGTTATTTCTTAACATTAGGTGCCCTTTTAATTGAAAGACCTGCTTCCTTAGATGAGGGGTTTTCACAGGAGGCTCCATTAGTTTATCAGTATGGACACAAAACACCATCCACCAATTCTACTTTATTTAGTATGGTAGCAAATCAGTTGGCATGTGTTGTTAAAGAAAGATTGGAATCCAATAAAAAGAGTGAGTCAACAGTTTAACAGTTGTTATTTGCATAAGTTTTTTAATGATTTTAATAAACCTTTTATATTTATAGTTTAATCAGTACTAAATGTACTCATTTGTAGTTTAAAAAAAAAAGTAATACAAATGAGTACATTTGGTCATGGTTTTTTCTAAAATAACAAAATACTGCTGCTTATTTTTAAACAACTGTTTCACCCTACAAGGGCATTTGCAGAAGAAGTGCAGCTTTTGTGAGGTGAAACAATTGTTAAATAATTTAAAAATAAATGCTGGAATTTTATTTTTTATTTCTTATTTGCAATGAATTTCCATAAAGTAGATACAGAAACAGCAAATTATGATAATTAAATGCTTTTTTTAGCAAAAGCCTCAGGTGTGATAATTAACACATGTGGATGGATTAAAGGTGGTGGCTATAAACAATTAATTAATCATGCAAAATCTTTTGAAGTAGACGTGATATTAGTTTTGGACCAAGAAAGGCTGTACAATGAACTTGTCAGAGATTTGCCATCATTTGTCAAAATCGTATTTATTCCTAAAAGTGGAGGGGTAAGAACCGAATATATTTCTTTAAATAAATGAATTGCGTAATTTTCTGTTAATCAGGTAGTTGAACGATCAAAAAACTCCAGAAGCGAAGCTAGAGACCAAAGAATAAGAGAATATTTTTATGGTACTCCCAAAAACCCACTGTACCCTCATACGTTCGAATTAAAGTTGTCTGACGTTAAAATCTTTAAAATTGGGGCCCCCCCCTTGCCTGACTCTTGTTTGCCATTAGGAATGAAAGCCGAAGATCATCTAACTAAAATTGTACCGATTACACCAAATGCAGCAATTCTTCATCATATTTTGGCAGTTAGTTATGCCAAAAAAGAGGAAGATGACTTGCTACTGTCTCATGTAGCTGGATTTGTGTGTGTGTAAGTTTACCAATCAAAAATCAAGTTAGTTTTTAATTAATTTGTTTAAAGATTTTGAAGTCTTCTAATTTGAACAGGGTTCCATAGCATACACTGTAAAAAGGAACCCTTTTGATTAAACGATCCGTCTATTAATGCATATTTGATTTGTAGATTTTGATATGTTTTTTTTTTAGTACAAATATTGATATGGAAAGGCAAACACTGTCAGTTTTATCTCCTCAACCGAAGCCATTACCAAATAATATTCTTTTACTTTCAGAATTTCAATTTATGGATAGTCATTAAGATAAAATGAACAACACAACGTTTTATATGTAAGAATAATGCAAATTATTTTCTTCAATAAAAGTTTTGTAAAAGTGTTTTGTTTTTATTATTGCGTAGTGAATGAAATAATAAAATATGTATATGCTTTAAGTAAAATCCAGTTTAAATTATATAAATATTTTACCAAAAATTAGTTTACAGTTCAGACGATTCAAGGGAGTGTTTAACAAATCGAGATTATTAAAAATAATTTCATAAATCGTACTCCTTCAAGTTAGATTTAAATGAACACTCCAGTATTGTGTGTCGCCGATACTTTAGGGGTCGAAAGTAAATAAACATGTTTTTGTAATTGAATTAAATAACCTGTAAATTGGACTTCGAACTGTATGTGAACTTTGTTCTAAACTATTTTTTTAATTTTTCAGTTTTATTTACGGCAATTTGCAGTGTTATAAAAGTAGTTTATCTTCAATTTTATCATCACTTAAAGGAATTGCTTTCTTGCAATTCATTCTAAGATCATAACTTTACAAAAAATGACCACAGCTGTTAAAGGTAAGTTAATGGTTTCTAAACAGTTTCTGAGTTTAATCTTTGAATTTAAGGGGTTTTTATCGTGGGTGCCAAAAGGACTCCATTTGGTACATTTGGGGGCAAATTTGTAAAAACGAGCATTTCTGATTTGCAAGCTCATGCTGCTAAAGCAGCATTGGTCTCTGCAAATATTAGCCCAGAATTAGTAGACACCGTTAATATTGGATGTGTTGGAACTGTAAGTGACAAAAATAGAAAATTCGAGTACTGTTTTCAAGCTATTTAATTATTTACAGCACTTATTTATTTTTTGTTAGAATTCTAGTTCAGATGGAGGACTTATTGCAAGGCATTCACAACTTAAAGCTGGAATTCCTTTGGAAAAACCTGCTCTGCATGTCAACAGATTATGTGGTTCTGGATTTCAAGCCATTGTAAATGGAGCTCAGGTAACTTTAAAAAATATTAAGGGTTTAACTGAATATATTTAACAAAACATGTATGTAATTCTAAGATAAAATTCATTAAATTACATACATGATATTAAGTCAGTGAAGTAATTGTAAAATAATTCACAATGCAAAAAAATTAAATATTAAATTAACATAAAGCATTCTATTGTTTAAATTGTTTTACTGGTTTTTATTTTATTAAATGACAACATATCTTTAATAATTGAAATTAAAAAAAAAGATGGAAGTTTTAAATGTAAAAAAAAATTGAACTTTACAATTACAAGTTGACCCTTAAAAATGATCCCAAACCTTATCCTTTCCTATTTTCCAGAAGCTCTATGAAACTGAAAGAATCTAATTTGAATTTTTAATCTGCTACATTTTGGAGAAAAACAAGATGTAAGTGTTATTTCTATTTCTAAATTTATATTGTAGGTACCTAATTAGTGACAAGAATTTTTCTCTCATTAAATTGTTTACGTAGCAGATTAGCTTAGTAATAAATACTAAAATAAATAAATAACTTAATACAATATTACTTGTACTTTTAATTTTTCTACGGGTACTTGAAATTGTTTACTCTGTAAGTAAAAAGATAAGTATCTAATGAATTTATCAAGATCATGTTGGCATATACAAGGTGTATATTAATTAGACTTCCTTATAAAATAATCCATTTTCTTTTACTTAGGATATTTTAACTGGAGTGGCAAATATTTCTTTGACTGGAGGCACTGAAAATATGTCCCAGTTTCCTTTTGTTGTACGCAACATTAGGTTTGGGACAACACTAGGAGTTCCTTATCAATTCGAGGACAGTCTGTGGACGGGTTTAACAGATTCTTTTTGTAAACTTTCAATGGCACAGACCGCTGAAAAATTAGGGGCTCAACAGAACATCGCCCGTCAAGAAGTCGACGAATTTTCACTGAACTCCCAGAAACGTTGGAAAGATGGTAAATAAATTTCACTAATATGTTTTTTCACTCATTGCAAACAATTTTGTTTTTTTACAGCACAAGATGGTGGACGTTTCAAAGAAGAAATAAGTCCAATTCAAATCAAAGGTAAAAAAGGGGCAGAGTCCTTCGACGTTGACGAACATCCGCGTCCTAAAACAACATTGGAAGGACTAAAAGGATTGCCGTCGTTGTTTAAAGAAAACGGACTTGTTACTGCTGGTACAGCTTCTGTAGGTTTCCTTTTTTTTAATCCGTTTATGTAATAATTTAATTTTCTAATTATTTTTAAGGGTATCTGTGATGGTGCAGGGGCTGTGGTAGTAGCTAGCGAAGAAGCAGTAAAACAGCACAATTTGAAACCCCTTGCAAGACTCGTCGCATATTCTGCAGTCGGTGTAGATCCCAGTATAATGGGTATTGGTCCTGTACCAGCAATTCAAAATGTCCTTAAGGCAGCAGGATTAGATCTAAGCAAAATCGACTTAGTTGAGGTGAAGTATTGCTAGGAAACATTTAAAAGTCATATTTTAAAAGATTGCAACCAGTTTTATACACATTAAACTGCTTATTTATAAAAGATATATCTTTTTTCGCAGATTAACGAAGCATTTGCAGCTCAAACTCTCTCTTGCGCAAAAGTATTAAAACTAGATTTGGAAAAGCTGAATGTAGATGGTGGAGCCATTGCTCTTGGACATCCATTGGCAGCCTCTGGATCGAGAATTACAGCGCATCTCGTCTATGAATTAAGGTAATACAATTTGAACGAATTGCCGACTATAGAATAACTCACTCATATTTTTAGAATAAATATTAAATGTTGAAATTTTCGGATATTAAATATTTATCAAAATTAGTGTAATTAGTACAAAGTAAAAAGAACTTTTTATTTTTTACCACTAGATAATCACTCAAAAACTTTCCGAATTTTAGTATTTTCTTAGCAATCGTTAATGTTAAAAATGTGTGATGATCTCCTGTGGGACTTACCACTTTATGATCTCGAAATTATTGTCGTTTTAGGAGAAGGAAGGCTAAGTATGGTATTGGTTCAGCATGTATTGGAGGTGGTCAGGGAATAGCTTTATTAATTGAATCATTATAGATAAATAATATTTATTTTTGAAGTATTCCATTTGAATTTTTCAGGGTTTTATATCAGTAATTATTTACAGTAAATTGACAATGTTCAAAGATCATATATTATTGTAATGCTATAAGTGGTTTACCTTTTATTGTTTTTATTTTTTATCTATTACCTAGATTTACTGCAAACAACATTTTATTACCTAATATAATGATGTTCCATAATTAATTAAAAGATGATTTTAAATTAAAAATGCTTTAAAAAGATACTTTTATTTATCACAATTAACTTACAACTAATTACAAAGTAGGTACATATTTATTTAAACTGTTACCTGCGGAGGCGCTAGCGATTGATACAGTTTGGAGACGGCTGTGTGTACAATTTGTTGAAAGGTTTCATCTGAAGGGCAACTAACTTCCTATAAAACAATTAATTAATTTAGTTTAGTATTCAAGGAATTTATATAATAAAAAGCTTTTATTGAAAGCTGATGCAGGTCCTTAAAAATATAACATATATACCCCTGCGGCCTATGCAAACACTACATACGAATAACATACCAAATTGGTGAGATCAATGTCTGCCCTCTTATCGTTGACGGTTACGTAAAGTTTCTCCCCTTTAAACATCTTCGGTACTGAGTCCTCCCCGAACATGTCTTGTAACATTTCAATCAGACATTCCTTGAAATGCATTCTGTCGACTTTAGCGCTTGACGAGACGTTCTTTATGGGTACATCGAGACTCTCGGCTTGCAATATAGCGGCTACTATAGCGTCTGCATACATATCATTGACCGGATTGGCCACCCATTCAAGCACTACCACCTTGTTCTCGATCGTTATGTCGATACTACCAAACGCCCTCATTTTCCTGTCTCCTTCTATCGTTTCTAAGAGACCAGCGATTTGGGTCACAAAATGACGTAACACGTTTATCGTGCCCGAGTAGTAGACACTTTGACGTTGCATTACGTGACTCATGCTCATGTCTGTGTACTTTGAAAGATCGTCTGGGGCCAGCACATGATAATTGAAGTTTCTCTTCACCAGTATACCGGATATGACATTATTAGGGGCAGGTTTGTCCATGGCTAACGTGCCCATCACTTTGGCTGTTTTTTCACCCCGGAAATATAACTCTACAGCATGTGTGTTGCGAGGGTTGTGTATTTGGATAGATGTATTAGGATCGTCTTCATATTCTCTTTGTAGAGCAGCTTTAAGACGGTTCATCTCATTTTGCTCCCCATGAACTAATACCTGAAAAGACATTTAAAAGCTTAAAGTAAACTCTTTGTATTTTCAAAGAATTTAAATGTAATTTAGTAGGACACAGTCAAAATCTATTCTATTGTATTTTTTGCCTGAAGGTGTAAAAGATTTACTCACAACGTTTGGCGGTTTTAAAATTCGAATAAATTCGCTCGTCTGTTGATAATCTGTATGAGCAGAGAAAGATATGTAGTCGACGGACATTTTTAGGGGTAATTTTTGCCCCACCATTGTAGTAATTTCTTCAGGTTCTGACAAAATCGTTTTTGCTAATGTTCCTTCAACGCAGTAACCTGAAATAAAACCGTTACAAAACAATATTTTATTAATAAAAATGCAATTTGACTTTTTTTACCTGCTATAATGACCCCATTTTTTGGATCAGTGCACCATGACTCAAATAGTTCTCTAGACAAACCACTTTGCATCATACCTGGTGAAGCCATTACAACACAGGGACCAATGTCTTCAAAATGATCAATGCCCTAAAATAAAATAAATTAAAATTAATAAAAAGAACATTAGAAAAAAGTGCATTCACTTTTAGATTTGATATATGCTTAAAAATGAAGGGATTATTGATGGCTATTTGTCTCCGTATTTTTTCATTCATTGCATTTATGTAAGTCTGATAAACTGCCATACATTTTTTTGCTAATGATGATGCATAATAAATTGGAATATCATGTAATTCTGGGTGCTGGCTCCAATATTCATCTGAAAATGCAACCAAATAAATGTGTTATTAAGTGTACAAAATATATACTTTATACCTAATATAAGAAGTAATTCTTGGGCACGACCAAGTGCAAAAACTGGAATAAGGCATCGACCACCTCGCGTGACTATATCATGTACTAAATTCGTAAATCTACTCTCACGTTCTTCTCTTTTTTCGTGAATGTGAGTACCATAAGTTGATTCCTACAATAATAAACTTTGTGTTTTATATTCGATGTTAACTACTGTAAAATACATTCATACAGTGATTAAGACATCAGGTTTAACTGTAGGTATTTCAGCAGCCATCAAGTGTCTGTCTTCTTGTCTTGAAAAGTCTCCTGTATACAAAATCTACAAATATACCTAATTATATATAAATAAAAACACACTGATTTATATGTTACCTTTACACCTGCTATTTCAATCATAAACATGGCAGCTCCCAGTACATGACCTGCATTGTAAGCCCAAAATTTAATACCTAAAACATCCTTCTCTTCATGGAAATTTATAGTTTCAATTTTATCCATACTAGCTTGGAGATCGGACTCTGTGTATAACATCTGCTCAGTAGCTATGTTACTAATAATATTTAATGTATAAGTATTTGTTGTTGCTAAAACTTAATCAAATATACCTAACTTTAATGTAATCTGAGAGTAACCAGCGATATATAGCTTTTGTAGCATGTGTCATGAAGCAACGACCTTTAAAACTAGTTTTCAGTAAGAACCAAGGAAGAGCACCACAGTGGTCCAAATGAAAACTGAAATCATGTTGATGTACATTAATATAAATAAGTCTTGAATTAATATAGGAGTACCCACTGAGAAATGAGGAGTAAATCAATTTCATCAGCTTCAATTAAATCAACAAATGGCAGAGCATCCATACCTGTAAGACCTGGATGTATTCCACAGTCCAACTAAAAAAGCAATAACCAAGTGTGACAGTATCATTTCTATAAAAGGAAATATACATACCATTATTTTTTTGCCTTTAAATTCTATCATTATGCATGATCTTCCAACTTCTTGACCAGCACCCCTAAAAATGTAATTTTAAGTACAAAAGCAACAATATATATGTATTTTAATACAAAGGTCGAATAATAAGTTGATCGCTTTCTTCTGCAGGAACTTGGCCGTCCGCTTTTCTTTTCGTTGCCATTATTTATTTATATTTTTAAAATTTAATATTATTTTGTTA